AATTGTCCAAAGTTTGCAATATCTAATTAGGACCCTTTTACATTTTTATCCCCATTTTATTGTTTGTACTTCCCCATCCTCGAAGCGATGTAATAGCGTAGGTTACTTTCCGCATTTTTACTTTCTCGCACTTGTATATGTATCTAGTTGCTAGATTAAATAGACGTGCATGACAAGACTTAAAAGCAAACAGTAGAAAACCTAACATCCAAGATAAACATAACTGAAACACAACACACTTTGCACACGCACACCTCTAGGATGACCCTCACTTGTTGCCTCAGATAATACAGTCATGTCTCTCAAACGTGAGAAATTTTAGCAAAGACCCTTTGGTTAAAAGATCATAGTCCCTCGACGACCCTTCGATGTTGCCTCGGTAAATGATCTTAGTACCTTAAGGTAATTGCTAAAGTGTCTTACGAGTTGCCTTCGTGACTTTATGATGACCCTCGCATGTCCCTCAAACATTCAATGATAGGGCTACCTACTAATCAATGGTAGGATAGCACTATCTAAAGGAAAAGAGGAAAAGAACAAAGATCTTTCGAGTAGGTAGACAGCTTGTAGTTGCTTGCTCACAAAATAAAAAAAATTTCCCACACATATACTCCCCTTTCTAAATATTTTTCAAAGACAAAAAAAAAACACTTTGTATGCATTCTCAACAATACGAGAATCAAAGTTCGACGCACTAAGGCGTCTTTTCAAAAATATTTTCAAATACACTTACACAAAAAAGAACTTTCAAAGTGAGCTAGCAACTAAGAGCCCTAGATAACTACAGACGAAAAGAGTTCTAACACCTTCCCTTTCCATAACCTACCCCCTTACTCAGAAAAATTCTCAAAAGGTCTTTCCCATTCTTTTCACCCTTTCTTTTATTGGATAAAAGAAAAGTCGGTGGCGACTCTTGCTAACCGCAACATTTGCGATAAAATGCAAAACTAATAAAGTCAGTTCTCCCACCGTATTACACTAATCTTATCAACAAACACCTTAATCATATCAAGACTATCCTGAGCCAACAAATTCAAGATGTGCGCACAACACCTCACATGAAATAGTTTACCATCTAATGGTAAATGTCTCTTACCAGGATAATCTCTCTTCAATCTAGCAATACAATTATCATTGGCACTAACATTATTTACTTAAATTAAAATAACCTTATCCCTTATTCCCCAATCATCCATCATCTTAATCAACTCCCTACATAAAACCTCCCCAGAATATGGTGATGACATATTCTTAAAAGATAAAACTCATTTGTGAAGTTGCCATTTTGAATCAATGAAATGACCAGTCACAGTCATATAACCTATTTTCTGTTCACCATACCACCACATGTCAGTTGTAAGACTGATCCTGTTAATCAAAGATACATACTTTTTATCTTAACTCTCCCATCCTCATAAAAAGTCTCACAATTAAGCTTAACTTGTTGCATAGTAATATTTTTACACCATGGATAATTCTCTCTTAAAATTCATTAAAGATAACACCTTCTATAACATAAAAAGTAAATGCATGACCTAGAATCATATGCGCTACAACTTCTCTAACTCTAGCATGATTATATGTTTAAGTTGCCAAATTAGTAGTATTATCACTACCACCTACATTTAACCTAGACTGTGCAACCTCTTTGTTATTATTACCTTTCAACCTCAACTTTATCTGAATACAAGCTTCTAAATGGTTCTTATCATTAAAAGTACTTTTCCACTTCACATCATAAGTGTAAAGCTTACCGCACCATCTGCACTTCCACTTCTTAATGCCATCAGGTTGTTAAATAAGTAGCATTTCAGTATGAAAAATAGATTTTTTGGGACGAGGAGCTTTACCAAAGGCATTTCTCTGACTCCGAGAACTCTGATCTTGGTCACCTGAAGGGGTTGATCCATCAGTAGTCGTAGTATTTTGAGTAGTAGTAGTAGTAGTATTTTGTGTAGCGTTCTTAGTTGGAATTGGAAGCTCCAAATCAATCATCTCGCCAATCTCTATATTTCCTCCATCCATTGTTTCCTCTCCCCCAATCCCATCAAGCAACATATTAATATCAATAAGATTATTCATGGTTGGAGTCAATGAGAAATCTTGAAAAGACGTGGAAGAAAATACAATATCAATCGAACAATAATGTAATACGAAATAAGAATAAAATTCAACAATAGAAGATAACCTCTTTATTAAGAACATAAGACAAACAATTATTATTAAAAAACCCCAATTCAAAACCCTAGTCGAGCCCTTATTAACAAGAAAACTCAGCAACAAAAGACAACCTCTTTATTATTGTTAATCAAATGTCAAAACACAAATCTCATGTCAAAATTGAAACATGCATGTACAAACTCACAACAATCAAAACATATTTAAGTCAGAACTCAGAAGAATAGATAAACGAACATGTAAAATAACATTTTAGGTCAAAATTGTAACAGGCAGGTAAAGAACGATTCGACAACTCAAACATGCAAACATGATAAAGAATAATATAACAAAAATAAAAAGAAAGGTTGAATACATTACAAGATTCTGGCTTGGACGATTGACTCTAATTCGCTTACAGATAATATCACACAACACTCAAGATTCAAAAACATATAAAATCAATATATCACACTCAACAATCTAAACATTTTGACTTGGTCGGAAAGAGGAGGTCATTGGAGGCGGAGAATGAGACACGGTGGAGAGTGACTGAAGATGGAGGGACCGAGAAAGACGAAGGTGTTGAAATGAAATAAAAGTAAAATTCATATTAATACCTTCGATTATTTATTAGATACTTGAGTCGATTCTTGATTCAAATATCGTACTAAATAATTATCTATTCTCAAACTACACTAGTCGGTCTCTAATAAACCAGATCTTAGATAGACATCCACTCCACTTCTCCAAAAACAATCCTAATTATACCTATTTGAGTTGGTTAGGTTATGCCACATGTAATACACATTCGCATGTCCAACCATCCTTGGGAGTCCTAGAAGGACGATGTTTAAATTCCCATCTCCATTAAGAACTAATAAACCTAACAATTATAAGTCACTTTCCACATAAACAAATGTTGTTCCAAAATTGTTTTACAATATTAATAAAATATTACTTTTTGTCATACTTTAGGTTTAAGATTTATTTAATATACAAAGATAACATAAAGAAATTGCACATGCATTCGATCAAATGAGTCTATAATACTCTACTTTTTTTAGGCTAATTATTAAAATATGTTCACAAATATTTTTGTTACTTATTAAAATGGTTAATCTCTACAGTCTTACTCCATTGTTTTTTTTTATTTGTCATATTTGCATTATTTTTTTATTTACGTATAACTTTCAAAGTTCAATCTACATTAATATTGTTTTGTCAATATTATACTCAATTATATAGAAAGAAATATATGGAAAAAATGAATTATTATATAAAAATAATAAAGTTTATTAATTATATATTTTAATATTCAAATATAATACATATTCATTTAACTACTTTCACGTACCAATAATAACAAAATATAATAATAATAAAATAAAATTCAAAAATAGTCTATGCATTTGATCCAAAAATGCATCAAAATTCTTCAACTTATATTTATATATATCTATAATTATTACAAATGAATAAATTATTAATTTTTTATTTTTGTTGGAAATAATTTATATTTAAAAGATATTGTTATTTAGAGGTGGTAGAGTTTTTGAGGTTGTTAGTTAGAAACTATAAATTTATGAGATTGCTTAATTTAGAAGTAAAAGTTTGATGTAATCAAAAATTGTTATTAATCAGAAACAGAAGCTCTTAAGGGTACGTCTAAAAATATATTTAACTTCTAGAGTTCTGGAGCTGAATTTGTTAGTATAACAGTTAAGTTTAATATTTTTTAGTTTGTACCTTTTAATTTAATTATTAAATTTGTCTTTTATTAAGGACTACTAACAATTTGCTTTGAATATAAATAAATTAGTGGTAAATATCATTTATAACATTAACAATAATAAATCATCGATTAATCATTTCTTTTATAAGTTTTATAGTCGTCATTACAATAAATATATTTTCTCTTACATTTTATTGATTTATTAATCTTGCGAACCATCTCTCTTTATATAAAATTAACTATATTTTTAATTTATGTGAAATTATCAAAATTATTTATAATTTGCAGGTATAGCTAACACAGCAAGTATAAAATTAACCATATTTATAATTTATGTGAAATTATCAAAATTATTTATAATTTGCAGGTATAGCTAACACAACAAGTATGCAGTAGCACAAACAATCAAATGAAAGGCGATTAGAGTAAACTCTTCACCATGATTAAGCTAAATATTTCATAACATCGTAACTGTCCCCGATTTAAAACTAGTATTAAAGTTTTCCCTGTAAATTAAATTTGCACATTTTTCTAAGTAAGTAAACAATTATTATTCATCTTCCAAAAAAAATTATTATTATTCAAAACCCAAATTATTTATTTATTTCAAAATCAATTTTAATTAAATGAAATAAAGAGAGCATGCAGTGCAGATAACGACAAAAGCACGTTTTATCTGCAATGGTCCATCCAAACTAAAGAAGAAAAAACAAAGAACATGATTCACTGCATTTATAAAATTGAAGAACTCATGCACTAGACATATTTTAAATCGCTAGATAAAGATCTAACAGTCTTTATATTTTAATTTTAAAATAATTAAAAACTGTATTAAACTCTCAATCGTTCGATCTTGATCTAACAATCGTAAATATATTAATGCGTGAATGCAGAAATGTTTTGACTGCATGCAATCCGAATTTCAAAAACAATAGAGATTAGTTCCACTTTCTTACTCAGTGTCAGAAAATCAATAATCAAAAAGCCAGAAATAACTAACAAACAAACAAAATTTTCCGTTTAACTTGACTCTACAGCACAACACAAATAAGCTGAAAAAATCGCTTTTCACTTTTTCACTTCTTCACTTCTTCTCATTCCCGTCGCTATGACTATTGTAGCGGCTTCTTCTTCTTCACTACTACTTCCCTCCGCCTCTGGTTAGCAACTTTTCTTCCTAATCTCTTACATTCTTCAATTTCATCTTTCTCCTCAAATCCTCATTCATGCACTTTCTTGTAGAATTTGCAAGTTAGGGTAATTATTCTTCAATATTTTATTCGAATCATAACATGAAAATAGCTTATCATTCTTAATTTGTCATAACTTAATTTCATAGTAAATGTGTGTGTATCACACATTGTGTATTTGGTTATGCGGGACTGAATTGATTTTGGTTAAAAGTGAGTTGGATATAAAGTGATTTATGTTTGGATACGTGATTGTGACTTCAACAAAAAATTTCAGTGTAAAAATTACGTTTAATCTTAGAATTTACAAATTCAAACTTAAAAAAGAATCAATTCTAGAAGCAGAATCAATTCTTCCTTAGAAGAATCAAACATCTCAAAATCAATTTTACACCAAACATACATTCTGTATTCACCAAAGCTTTTCAAAATTTTGAAGGAGGTGAATTTGCTTTGTTGTATAGTACAATAAAAATAGAGCCAAGTTATAAAAAAAGGCTTATATTATGTATATAGATTGTGATTGACCTCTTAAGTTTTAGGGTTAAATTAAGATTATAGGAAATCAATCTTGAGAAGGGCACTAAAATTTGATGGAAACTGGAAACTGTTTTTTTCTATTGATAACTCAAGTGTATAAGAATTGTATAGTTTTGTTTTGTTTGGTTTTGCAGAGTTTTGGATTTTCTGTTGTACATGATCTTTTTTTCTTCTTCTTCTTCTTTTCGATATTTTAAACTCTTTCTGTTGAATGTTTTTTCATATTGTTCAATAATTTGTGTCTTGCAGAAGGGATATGTTACCCATTGACCTATGGAGTAACTTGCAGTTCTATCAAATACCCCATTGATGGGCGAAGGGTGCATGATCTTACCAACACAAGGTGCTTCAATGAATAGTCTTTATTTATCCTTATTCTTCTTAGGAAACTAGACTGATACGTTTGAAAACATGATCTCTTTCTCTGGCGTATAGGTTTGTATGTGGGATCGTTTGGTTTGTCATTTACTTAGAAATATGGAAATTAGAGAGAGATACTTATGATCTAGTTTTGCATCTATATTGATCTTGTCTACACATTGTCCATCCATTCGATGTAGAAGCCTAACCTGTTTAGTCGAGTCCTTTTTATTAATAATCCTACCACAGGCTTCCGCTATACTGAGATTTTAGTTTTGTTGCAATATTTGATTTTGGATTTAATTCTAATACAGTCAATATCAACCGTAACATCTTTAGATATATTTGACTTTTATCGTAATTACCTCAGAAGTCATGCTCATGAATGGTTGTCATGTGTTGACCGTGTAAAACTTTTACGACAGTGCACTGCAATTAAACTCTTTGGCTTTTGGTAACAAAACGTTTAATGACTTGAATTCTTATACATCTCATGATTCTACAATCAAACATTCAGCATAATATGTAGGTTGAAAGTTCATGAAATTGTTGTATCAACATTTATTTATGCTTTGTTGGAAATCAGAGGTGGAGGGAAATGAGATGAAACTTGCTCTTATTTATAGAGCGTGTTGATCACTAACCATCAATGGTTAACCAACTCCTGACTAACTATTTGATTTTTAGCTGATTGAACTGCCTAACAGATTGAACTAACATTCCTAACGCGATTTATTCATTGACCTTAGTTTTGTCTATCTTTAGATGCAAAAGTCCATTGTTTGGATCAGCACACTTCCTTTGGCTATCCACGGAGCATGATTTCCTTTCAAAGATTTGTGTTGCTGCAGACTATTCAGATTCTATATCTGATTCATACCATCCTCTTGAAAAACTGAAAGTTTCCAATGATGTTCCACCAGCTAGACTCTCTTCTGCTGAAATAGCTAGAACTACTATTGAGGTTTGTGCCTATATGCTTTTGTGCATGTGAAAACAGTCAATTTGCAATATCTATGATTGCAAACCTTGTAATCATGATGTTATTTTTGTATTTTCTGGACATATTTAGGTCATAGTCATCTGTAAACTTTTATCACCGTGCTCTCTTTTGTTGGTATTAGGCTACTAGAGACGCTTTGCTAATATTTCCTGGAATGGTACACTCTGAACGGCATGAACAGATTTCATGGGCTGAGTCTCAATTTGTTATTGATGAATACGGAGGTTTGTTGTCTTGTCGATAGATCTATATTTTGTTTATGAGATATGAATTATCATTTATCTTAGTGAATTCATGATTCAGTATCAACATTGAGAGTTTTAACCAAAATTTTTTCTTTTGTTTTTCTCTCTAGAGATATATTTTAGAATATTTGATGACGAAAACCTTTTGGCAGATCGTGGGGCATATAATCCGGTGGTAAGAATTTTTGGCCTTTGCCCCAGGGTTTTGGCTAGCTTTGCTTCAGAATTTTTTTTCCCTCACGTGATAATTGGTGCAAGTTGAAAATAGAAAACATTTTAAGCACCTCCAAATTCTTTATAAAGCAATCCAGTGATGTGTCTTTCTATCAATCTTTGTGTATAAAATTTCAGGCTGTCAGTTCCAATCCTCTGACTTTTCCATTCCTACATTTTATCTCGATCCTTCTTAAAATTTGAGTTTGGGCCTATCTCAACTCCAAAAGCTAGCTCACTGGTGAGGGTTTCCCCTCACTTACAACAATCTTTCACGGCATACAACTGTCAATTGAAGAACTCTGAACACTCCCTTCCATCCCCAGGACTGGATGTGTGGGATTTATAAAACTACATATCTACGAGTGGCCCAACAGATTTAGTGCAAACTCTGATATCATCTTAGAATTTGGGTTTGGGTGTAACTCAACCCCAAAATCTAGCTCATATGGTGAGGTTTTATAACCATTGTCCTGGCCATTTTTCTATCCAATGTGAGACTCTCACCAATCATTTCGTTTTAGACTGGTGTAATATGTACTTTCCCTATTAATTTTACTCAGTTATAGGCCTCAGTCATAACAGAGATACCTACATATCAAATTACATGAAGTTATTTATATTAATTATTAATTCATATCGAGAAACTATGTACTGTGTTTGTCAAATGGCTAGCTAAAAGAGCCAAAAAAAATTGTTGTTAAGAGGTAAATTCAAGTGCTCACCTCATGGTATTTATTTGTTGTCTTTGTGTTTCACATTTATGAAATTTATACTCAAGGTTTGTGTTTCTTCAGAATGCTTTATTTGGAATGGACATCCCAATGTATGATAATACAAGGATAATTAGTGAATATGACATTTTCTATGGCGGCATCACTGATCCATTCCTGATTGATGATGATTTTATTGAGGTTTGCAGCTTCAAATGCTTAATTTTGGAATTTAGTGATCTTTTTTCTATAATATATTGAAGAAATTCAAATCACTAACACATTCTTCCGCAATCAGGTTCCAGAAATTGAAGAGTTTAATGCTCTAGATAATCCCATTTACTTTTCGAAGTGCTTGGAAAAGGTTTCTCCACCTCTCATGACAAAGAACTAATAACTAATAATTTCAAGTGTTTTAACTGAGAATGATTTAACAAATCAATACACTCTAGACGAAATAATATTGATTCAAATGAATTTTCTTCTAGGCTGTCAACAGGGAATGTGAAAAGAGAATGAGTCATCCTTCGAATGGTGTTTCCATTCTAGGGAACCTCATACCTGCTTACGCAGATGAAGAGTTTTACAAAAGAATGATAAAATACACTTCAGATGGTCATGGATACATGCCTGATTGGGAAGGTATCTGATTTCGTCAAGATTGACATCTAGGATTTAAAGATTTTATTTCATACGAACACTGTTTAGTTGACAAAAGTTGTTTTCTTACTTATTCTTGATGCTAGTTTTTGACATAAAGAAATGTAGATGCATTGGTAAACTTCCTTTTAACGCTTTTTCTTTTTAATCTTTGGCTGGTGTAGGTTTTTTCTCAAATCGTGTTAATGGTAAAAGAGAGACTAATTTTATGTTATATAAGTTGAAGAATGAGCAAATCAAGCTAAACTGTGTGTATGGATCTCAGGCATGTATCTCAAAACTCCCTATATGTGTTGAACGGTATTTTTTCTATAAATTGAAGCATTGTTTAGAAACCAGTGAAGTTATACTGATCTTGATCTATTCTGAGTTCCAAGTTATGCATGTTCTACCTTTCCTAAAAATTGCAGTCTGAGATTAACTTACTAGAGTTTGAAGATGCTGAACCTGATATTCTTATACACACTTCTTGGGGACTTCTCATGCTTTTCAACCGAAAATATCATGATGCTCTTAAAGCTTTTTGCAAAAAGAAAGGTCTTGATGCTGAGGTAATCCAAAATTTAGATATTTGAATTTTCAAGTTTTTGTTTTATGGTTAGTGTATTTTGTTTCAAAATTAATATGCTTTGCGTAGATGGTGAAACATACAATGCTCAAGATACTTGCTAATTTAGATATGATTTTAATTTTCATTGTTTAATGTCTATCATGAATGTCTTCCAGGAAGCACATTTTATTGGGCTTGATAGCCTAGGTGTGGATGTTAGAGTATTCTCAGAGAAAGAAGTAAAAACTCATCGCTTTTCGTTCAAAGTCCAGGTAAGCATCTTGGGTTAATGAAAGTACATTATTTAGGTTGATGCAGTGTCATGGCTCCTTCCTCACCTGAACATTCTGCTGAACATGTACTTGTTATCAAAAAATCTAGTTCTTGTTGATTTCTTAAGAAAAATATGAGAAGTGATTGTATAAGAAGCTGACGTAAGCTATGTTATCGTGTGTTTAATGTGAAACATAGCATGATAGTATATTAAAAAATGTCATTTAGAACAGAAGATTTTATATTTGCGTAATAGCTTGAGAAGCAGATTTTGCAAGTTCAAACTCAATTCTTTTGCATTTGCAGGCCAAGTCCGAAGATATGGCTGTAAAGCAGATTGAGAAACTTTTGTATACCCCATCTAGGTGAAAAAAGAACATGCAGCAGCCACGGCGGAGTATGAAAAAACCAACATGAATTGAGTATACCTATACAACTTATTTTTATACTTAAAATTTAGGCAAAGGTGAGTTAAGGGCATTGCCACTCTATCAAAGAGGACAAGATACCGGGAGAGTTATACTCGAGCTTCACTAGTGACATGGCTGTTACCCTTTTTCCTACATTACTTTCTCATAGATCCGACATGTCAAATTGTTAACTTTTTGTTTTTGCTGACAAGAATAAATGGTGAAGGTGTTAATAGAATGAACTGTTTTAATGGCCTGAGAAAATTTTCTACTCAGATTGTAAATGTTTTCTTAGCATTATTTTATAAATAATCCATCGTGAAAGGAGAAGCATATTGACAATTTCTGTTGTGTTAGTACAAATGGATCAAAGATGTAAGATTTCTATGGCACCTCATTTCATCACTAAAATAATAGTAACAAGTTCAAAAGGACCTAAAAAGTATGGATACTATAAGACACCTGCTACGAGTCAAAGATTAGTTAGCAAAATTAATAAATTAACAAAAGTACATTTAAAGTAATATACTTATATCATGTTGTTTCTTTAATAAGCCTTAGTCATGTGACTTATAAGAAAAATCCTTATCCTTAAAAAAATAGTTGTCCCTTTCTCTAGCCAGCTCAAATTATAATATAATGAATTATTCTATTTTGATCAAATGCCAAATAAAAAAGTTTAATTTATATGTAATTGATATTAGAATATAAAAAAGACATATCTCGACCTTAATCTTAATTCAATAAAATTTGAAGAAATGCAAATAATAAGGACGGAACAATGGTTGATCGCAAGACAAATTATCCAATAATAGTGCATACATTACTTTTAAAAATATTTAATAAATAAATAACTCATTTTGTAAACAAAAATAATCAATAAATCGCTTAAATTTTGTTACTTGAAATAGCATAATTTGATAACTAAGAACAATATAGTGTTCTTATCAAAATTAGTTATTAAAATACATTAGCTCAATTAGTATGTACTAGTAAAATTAAATGGATATAAATAGCTAGTTTAGAGTTCAAAATTTGAGAACAACATTTATATACTTATGTATGAATTTAATATAAATAAGTTTTAATATTTATAAATTAATAGTATTTATAAAAAATTATAAAAATACGTCGAATAATAATCACAAACTTTATTTATTAAAAAAATAATTTCATGCTTTAATTTAAATATTTATAAACTTTAAAAATTTAAAATTATTAAGATAATAAATTTGACTAATAAAAAAGCTTAAATTATGAGTAAAAGATATCCTTCTTATCCTTCAAAATTTAAAAAAAAAAAAAAAAAACAGACAAATTTAGATATCTCCAAACTTAATCGCCTAATCCGTTTGGTCTCTTGTTTGCCTACAAAATTATATATATATATATATATATATATATATAATCTTACCGGATCAGAATTGGACTGTCACAGTTGATTCGAACTGGATTTGAGTGAGATGGGGAGTACCTGCAAGACACTCCGATGATAAAATGAGAGACGGAATGAGCAGGCGAAAAGTATGTAGGTGCGTAATGAATGAATACCTGACCCTCTTGAAGTAGAGGGTATTTATAGCCCCCAGCGCTGGGCCAAGGTCTCTTTATTTGGCCGACCAGAATTGGCCCAATAAAGAGACTGCCAGGTTCTACGTGCGTAGTGGGGACCCACACATGATCCCCTTCCTGGATGGTTGTGATCGGTGGATCTGGAACTGACTGTTTAACGCTGGTTCGCGAAATGTCGCGGTAAGCAAGAGTCGCCACCGTCTTTTATTTTCTCCAACATGGACAGGACAAAAGCACAGCAAAATTCCTGATGAGATAGTTTCTCGGTTCGGGAGGTAGATTTATAGAAAGGGAAGGTGTTAGCACCCTTTCTATCCATGGTTATCCATGGGCTCTTAGATACTTACTCATTGTGTTTTCAAAAGTGTTTGCTTTTCAAAGTGTGAGTGGGTTTGAAAAAGTTTCGTTTAAAGATTTCAGATCGACTCTTGTATCAGTCCTCAAGAGTGTTTGAAAAATTGTTTTGAAAGCTTTTTGAAAAGTGTTGGTGTGAAAAGGTTTTTGATTTGTTTTTGAATAGAGCAAGTATCTATGAGTCATCTACCTACCCTAAGGAATTAAGCTGTGTAAGTGTCCTTTAGGTAGTGCCATCCCACCATTGAGAGGTAGGTAGCACCACCGTTGGAGGTGTTCGGGTCAATTCGTTTGTTAGGGGGACAGTGTGGTCACCAGAGCAACAGTAGGACACCTTAGAAGCTACCCTTATGCCATTGATCCTTTTTTAATCTGAGGCAACCGTTTCGAGGCAACTGGATCATGGACATAAGGACTTACTAAAACGTCCTATACTCGACGACCACGTTTCGAAGGCAAGGCAACAGTGAGGCGTACCCTAAGAGTGGTGTGTGAATTTGTGTGTTGTTTTCATGTTATGTTTTATTTTGTACATGTATCATGGCACGGTGAGCTACGCTTGTTTTTAATTAGCATGCATTCTTTCATACAAGTTAACAGTTAAAGGGGGTGCGGAAAGTAAATTACGGAAATGTAAATCCTACGCTATTACAAGGCGCGGGTCTATACATCGCCAAAAATTACAAAGACCCGTTTTTTTAGTAAATGAGTACGGAAAGTAAATAAAAACAGTAAAGTCCTAATTACTATTACATGTCCGGAACAATTACATAATAATCAAATAAAGTAAAATGCGCGCGAACAAGTTAATCGGGAAAGTCCAAGGGTGTTGACCCTTTTAAGAAAAGGAAATTAATTTTTTTGGTCTTTTTTATAATTAAAATGAAATGGGAACTAATTAATGATTAATTAATTTAATTTAATTAAAAGAAAATATTTTTTTGTTTTTATGTTTTTTATGAAATAAAATAGAAAAAAGAAATAAAATTCTAGGTTAACCTAAATCTAGATCTATTTTAATTATTAAAAAGAAGGTTAAAATAGCCTAATTAAAAACTAATTCAATTATGGTTTATTTACAAAATAAAAATAATAATAATAAAAGTGTTAACTATATTTTTTTTGGTTTTTTATGAAAATGGTTAATTGATTAATTACTACTAATAATAAATAAAAATAAAAAAGGCAAGAAATTAAATTGACAAATAAAATGAAAAGAAAATAATGAACCAAATGGAGGGGGTGTTGGGCCAGAAATGGGGGTGAAATGCTGGAATTCAGGCCCATTGAGGCAAAGGCCTCGTTGACTTTTCCTGCTTGCGTGTGCATCCATTGACTGAAGCATATGGTAAGCCTCTTTTGTGGCCTTTGGATATGCCTTGAAGACACCTGGCTTGTTGGATCTGTGAGGCCTATGATGAACCTTCCTTGGAGCGTTGCACAGGAAAGTCAAATGAAAAATAATATGGGAATTGTGAGGGGACCTGGGAATCGAACCCAGGTCCCAGCGTTTACCAAACCACCTTCCTACCATCTGATCCATTGCACGCGTTTGTAAATAACATGGAAACGAAATATTATATAGAATAAAAACATTATATGCTAAAAAACAAAAAAAATGCGCGCGGAATTTTGAATGCACCAACGCCTGCTTGCCACGTCTGTCTTCTTCAAGCTTTCTTGCAAATGTAAAAATACATAGCGGAGGTTTTAAACCCCCCCAAAACACAAGCCTGCAAATAATAGCGATTAGCTCCTCGTTAGACATAAATTAGGCGCGAGGGGTCCATTGGATTCGTCTCATCTTTCTCAATTCAACCATGGCAGTTTGAGGTTCCAATTTTTACATATGTGGGAAACCCCAATTTGAAGCTTGAAAAAAACCTAAAATGCTTTAATGGTGAATCATGTAATAACGCATTAGAATGCAATTGGATCATCCTATTAGCTTCAGAAAGCCCCTAGCAATGCAAAACAATAAAGAAAATGGATCAAATGCTTATGAAATGTGATATACAGTTTTGAAAAATGAAACAAACCGAATGATGTCTATGGCACAATTTCTTAAGTGATTGTGCTTGGTTCTGATTGCCAAAGCTTCCTAGGGATACCAGGAATGTGTTTGGATTGGAATGGAGACTTGAGAGGCGCTGCAACTAGGTTTTCAGTTTCTCTTTTTTTCTTTGAAATTTTGAAAAGTGTATGGCTGTTTTGGAGCTTTTTAGGTCGTGAATTTGTTTGTGATAGCTTGCACATGTATTATGTAATGAGTTTTGATCAGAATTAAGGGCCTTAACCTTATGCATTCATGTTTGGGATTTGCCATGAACTCCATTGAAAAACTTTCCATCTTTGTGCCAAAATTTGAATTCTTGCTTGATTTAGCCCTTTGCACGAATTTGGAATGGTCATGATGGTGTATCAAAGCATTTCAATACAAAATATATCCCCTAATTAACTTCTTTGATTTTTATTTGATTTTAAAAGATTTAAAATGAATTAAATCAAATAAAAATGGAAAAATTAATTTTAAATCTTGAAATAATTTGTGGGACACGTGGGAAGCATGGCCAAGCTGAAACAAGTGGAAAAAGTGGGCCCCTTTTGTCAAAAATGAAGTTTCAAGGATAATTGATTTTGGCCATTTCACAAAAATTTCCCAACTTCTCCAATGCATATCTTGCTCAATTTTGAAGCTATGAACATGTTTTTGGACATTTTGGAAATGTCTTGAAGTCCCCTAACCAATGTCTTTGGTCCCATGTCATTTTGATTTACCAATCTCAAGTTATGGTCTTTGACTTAAAGTGTTTTTTTGTTGACTTTTGAAAATGACATATAATGTTGAAATTGATAACTTTTTGTGAGAGCATTTCTTGGACTTGGAATGTGAAGATGAATTGTAGGAAATGTCCTCCCCTTCAAGATGAGAATTGGATGGGATTTTTCTGATGAACCATGAGGAAGTTATGCCTTGGTCAAGTTACAGTTGACTTTTCAACTGTCCAAAAATATAAACTTTTGCATCTTGAT